TTGTACTGTGCTGCAGAAGAGAACTGCCTGGCCAGCTCAGCCCGCTCAGCCAACTGGCCCTATGGTCACCGGCGTCTACTCCGATTCTCCTCCCAGATCCACAACCTGGGACGAGCTGACTTTAGGCCCAAGGCTGGGCGCCACTCCTGGGTGTGGCACGAGTGCCATGGGTGAGAGGGTAGGGAGTCAAACAGAAGGGCAAGGCCACGGGGGATGGTACAAACCTTTTGGGGGCAGAGAAGGAAACAGAAGTTTCCTTGTCCCCACAGGCATTACCACAGCATGGACATCTTCACTCACTACGATATCCTCACCCCAAATGGCACCAAGGTGGCTGAGGGCCACAAAGCTAGTTTCTGCCTGGAAGACACTGAGTGCCAGGAGGGTGAGTAGGGGCCTGAAGTGGACTACATGGTGTCCATCGCATAGCCCTTCCTTAGACTGACACATGCGAATCCCTCTAGATGTCTCCAAGAGGTATGAGTGTGCCAACTTTGGAGAGCAAGGCATCACTGTGGGTTGCTGGGATCTCTACCGGCATGACATTGACTGTCAATGGATTGACATCACAGATGTGAAGCCAGGAAACTACATTCTCCAGGTACCTGGAGTCTGCGGCTTCCAGACAGATGAGTGGGAGAAGTGTTAAAGACACTTTTGGATTTGAGGATTGTCACTGGGTTAAGTGACCTTTCTCTCGCTCACAGGTAGTCATCAACCCAAATTTTGAAGTAGCAGAGAGTGACTTCACCAACAATGCAATGAAATGTAACTGCAAATATGATGGACATCGGATCTGGGTGCACAACTGCCACATCGGTATTTGATGGGAAGAGCAACCCAGGAAGATTAGGGGATGGGAGGGAAAAATGTTCATTCTCTTTTTCTGTAACTTGTTTCTGTATCTTTCTACCCTCCTCTGGAGCTCTCAGTCCCTCTACTTCTACCCACCCTTCTCCACAGTGGGTCTCTCTGCCTCCCTCTGTGCAGGACATCTCCCAAATTGCCTGTCCAATCTGCAGGTGATGCCTTCAGTGAAGAGGCCAACAGGAGGTTTGAGCGCTACCCTGGCCAGACCAGCAACCAGATTATCTAAGTGCTACCACCCTCTGCAAACCACCACTGGCCCTTAATGGCAGGGGTCTGAGGCTGCCATTACCTCAGGAGCTTACCAAGGAACCCATGTCAGCAACCGCACTCACTGGACCATGCACTATGGATGTGGAACTGTCAAGCAGAACTTATCACCCTCCTTCAGAGGCCAGCTGTCAGTATCTGTGGCCAAGCATGGGGAATCTTTGCTCTCAGGCCCAGCACCGAGCAGAGCAGAGCACACCACACCAGAAAGAGCAGCACCTGACTAACTGCCCACAACAAAAGATGGCAACAGCTCACTGTCTTGAATAGGAAGGTCAGGATGGTCAGCTCCAGTATCTCCCCTAAGTTTAGGGGGATACAGCTTTACCTCTAGCCTTTTGGTGGGGGAAAAGATCCAGCCCTCCCACCTCATTTTTGACTATAATATGTTGCTAGGTATAATTTTATTTTATATAAAAAGTGTTTCTGTGATTCTTCAGAGCCCAGGAATCAGTGCTGGTGGTTAGAGGGACCTGCCCCCACTGGTTCATTAAACCCTCTGTCCCGGTGCCCTCAAGCCTCAGCCAGGAAGGCAGGAAGAAATCAGAGTAGGAGCCTCATACTCTTGCTGATCTGTTCATTCTGTGATCTCAGGGGTCACATATAATGTCAGTGTTTCTCGTCCCCGCCGGATCCGCAATGCCATCTTGGGTTGGGTTCTAACAGCTTCATAAATATCTTCAGCACTACGTGCCACCTTGTCCCCAATGGCCAAAATCACATCACCAGGCCGCAGGCCAGCCCTACAGAGAAAAACGGACAGAGAGAAAGGAAGGAATAGAAAGCCCAGTTCGAGGACACATGCACACCTCGCCCATCCCCATCTCACACTGAAGCCTCTCCCTCACCGGTGTGCAGGGGAGCCCAGGATGACTTTATGGATGAGTACACCATACCGAACATCGGGAAACCTTGGATCTCGAAGCTGTAGTTCAGCAAGGATGCTGAAAGTACACAGATCACCCTATTAGCCAGATCTAGGCATTCTCCCCATCCTGAGTTCACCTCAAGTCTCTTATCAACACATTGACAAATGTATGGACAGGACATGAGCTAGGTACTACAAAATATAATGGCCACTCACTTTCTGTCTTCTAGCAGTTAAGAGCAACATGTACATAAAAGATGTACACCACATGAGGGCACCAAATGACAAACACTGTTAAATCAATAGCATTAATGTCACTCTAGAATGCTAAGAGAAGATTTAAGGAGAAAGAAACTGAGCCTATAAAAGGATGGATGTGATATTAACCATATAAAACAAGAACAGCATAAATAAAACAACATGGGAATAGGAAATCAAGTTGGCTGAGTATTCATATAAGAAGGTTTAACAGCCAGGTCTAGAAAGTTGATTTACAGACAGATGGAAAATGGCCCTTAAATGCCAAGTTAATGGATTGAAGCCTTGAAATCAAAGCAGTAACAGGATGAAATAAATCTGGTGACAGGTGTGCAAAGTGGAGTGGGATAAGAAAGTCAAGATGATGAAGGGGGACAGCTCTTGTGATTGTTCCAAGTGTGATGCAGTTCATTTTAGATAACGACAGAAATGAGAACAAAGCTCAACAGAGGTGCCAGGGGCCCACCTCTGATTACACTGGTTACATTACATGTCACTATCCCTAAAGCTCATACCTGGGAGTCAGGGTCAGCATCATCACCCCAATGTAGCAGTGTCGGGCCCCATTGATTCCACACGAGGAATCTGTGACAGAGGGACAAATGAGTCCCACCCAGCTACATCCTTCCTTCCCCTACCCTCCTCTCCCAATAGACCACCCTTCAGCAAGTCCCAATGAATGCCCCTCGCCTATTTCCCACCCATCATTTTAAAGGAACCCATTTCCCCATAAGCCAGGCTCACTTTCCTGTTCCCCACGACGCAGAAATTCTCGAAGGCGATCAGAAGGGATAGCAAAGGAGATTCCAGCTGTGACCTTCATGGTGTTCACTCCAATCACTTCTCCATCCTGCAGGGACAGAGCCCCCTGTTCCCTAGCCCAAACAGATAGTAGGGGATGGGGGCACCTGAACAAAAGTAGCATCAAGTGTTGGGGAAATCTGATTGGATGTTGAAAGATAGCCAATAAAGAACTGCTCAGAAACTTGACCAAACATCTTTGAATTAGGGAAAAACCACCCTTCCCACACTGACCTGGGGCAGGGATTCTTGGAAGGAAGGATGTCCCACTCACCAGGTTAACCAGGGGACCTCCAGAGTTTCCAAACTGCAGAATAAGGACAAAACATGAAAGAGATCTGGGGATTCTAAGTCTGGGGGCATACCAGGATGTAGGTGCTTTCTCCAAATTTTCTTCTTTCTCAGCCCATGAATGAGTGGCCACATTTTTGCAGCCTAAGGTCTGTATATAGTATCATCCAACATATATCAGTTGGTGCTTGTACCACAAAGCCTCTTCCCCCTCCCCCATCATTTGTCATTTCTTTCCTATCAGGACGCACATCAATAGCTGCATCAGTCTGAATGTATTCCACATTGGTTTGGGGGAGTCCCAGGTCTCTGGCTGGACGCTGAGCAGAGCTAACAATGCCGGATGTGATCGTGTTCTGCAGTGCAAAGGGACTTCCCATGGCAACAACAAACTCCCCTTGACGGACCTCAGATGAGCATCCAAGAGGCAACGTGGGGAGAGGATCCTAAGGGAGAATGGGTATAAGAGACCTGTCATCTGGAGATGCGAGCAAATAAGCGGCTCCAACCAGAACTGGCCTACCTAAGACCCTACCTTAGTCTGAATCCTCAGCGTTGCGATGTCTGCCACGGGATCCACAGCTGTGACGATGGCCTCATACGTGTCGCCGCTAAGCAGTCTCACACGGACTTTGCGCCGATCAGCCACCACATGGGCGTTAGTGACAATGAGCCCATCAGCAGCCACCACGAATCCTGAGCCGTTCGAGATAGGGATTTCGCGGCCCGAGAAAGGGTGCCTGGAATGGAGGGAAAGCACGGATAAGAGGAAGCTCTGACCCCTCCTACCCGCCCGCCCTCCGGCCCGTGGCTTCAGTGCCTCCTGGTCTACCCCTACCATTACCGGTCCAGGATCTCGATATAGACAACGGCAGGTGCTGTCTTCTCCACCACATCTGCGATGAAGTTGTACTGACTCCGGGGAGAGGTGGGAGGCGAGCCAGGGACTTCGGCGAGGACGGCCGGTGGACCCCGACCCCCGCCCCACAACAACAACAGCACTGCCCCCCCGGCGCCCAGCGCCACCGCCAGCCACGCGCGCGAACGGCTTCCAGAGTTCCCAGAGGCCTCCTGGGTCCTGGTATCTGGGGTCCCCGCAGTCAGTTGTTCCCGAGGATCCGGGGTCCGAGACGTCAGACGTACTCGGGGTTCAGGGACCCCAACAGACAACCGGGCCCGGAGACTGGGGGTCCCATAAGTCACTCGGTCCCGGGGGTCCGAAGTTCCTGACGTCAGCAGAGCCCGGAGGTCAGGGGTCAACAGGGGTCTCTTCCCCCAGCGAATACCCCCCAAAGCCCGCCATGCCCGGAGGATCCAGCCTGCACCCCGCCCCGCCCTCAGCGCAGCCATCAGCTCCGCCTCGGCTGCCTCCTCGCCCGCCCTACTCAGAGGCGGCACCCAGGACGCGAGTAAGCGGACAGTAGGATGCAGGGCACGCTGGTACTTGAAGTCCTCCAGAAGTGCACGCCGGAACCAGGATTCCGGGAGGCCGCCTCCTCCCCATCCCGCGAATGCCGGGAATTGTGGTCTCCGCAGGACCTGAGTTGTGAGACGGCCCAAGGGGCTGCGGGGCATGCTGGGACTTCTAGCCCTTCCGGGGCGCCTCAGGACTTCAGGTCCAGTCACCCCGGGCGAATGCCCAAAGACTCCGCCTTCCCAGGAGCCCTTGCGGCCAGACGCGAAGATGGCGGCAGCGACGGCCGGGCGCTCCTGAAGCTGCAGTTATGGAGCTTCCCTCAGCGCCGGGGCCGGAGAGGCTCTTTGACACTCACCGGTAAGAGCCCCGGCGGGAAGAGGCCGATCCTCGCATCTTCTTGGCCTTTGGTGCCCGATCACTTCGCCTCTCGCCCCCAGGCTCCCGGGTGACGGCTTTCTGCTGCTAGCACTGCTGCTCTACGCGCCGGTCGGGTTCTGCCTCCTCGTCCTGCGCCTCTTTCTCGGGATCCACGTCTTCCTGGTCAGCTGCGCGCTGCCAGACAGCGTCCTTCGCAGGTTCCGACGCAGGCGTTTGGGTAGTGTCAGGGCTGGGCCTGGCCCGAAGACACACAATCACCACCTCCTGTGTCCCCAGGTTCGTAGTGCGGACCATGTGTGCGCTGCTGGGGCTCGTGGCCCGGCAGGAGGACTCTGGACTCCGGGATCACAGCGTCAGGGTTCTCATTTCCAACCACGTGACACCTTTCGACCACAACATAGTCAATCTGCTCACCACCTGTAGCACCGTGAGTGAGAGCGAGGCCGAGAGCGCCACGGGGCGGTTCCCTGGGGCCCAGCTGAAGGCCCCCAGTCCCCATTCGCGTTCCCCATGGAGGATATTGACCCTTACCCTAACCCTGATTCTCCACCCCACATGTCAGTTTTTCTCATTTTCCTCAATTTTTTTTCATCTTGCTTTCTCTTCTCCTGGTTCCCAGCCTCTACTCAATAGTCCCCCCAGCTTTGTGTGCTGGTCTCGGGGCTTCATGGAGATGGATGGGCGGGGGGAGTTGGTGGAGTCACTCAAGAGATTCTGTGCTTCCACGAGGCTTCCCCCCACCCCTCTGCTGCTATTCCCTGAGGAAGAGGCCACCAATGGCCGGGAGGGGCTCCTGCGTTTCAGGTGGGTTTAGCACAGGTATCGGGTGGTCAAGCTTGTGGGCCCTTGAGTTTTTACAACCTTCTTCAGCCCTTAGCCCCCAACATCTCTAGTTCATTTCCTTTCTGTCTACTTTTCTTTCTTCTGAATCCCTTCATTCTTCAATTATCTACTTGTAGAGTTTGACAGTTGCCTGTTTTAAGGCAGGTATGAGCTACTGACTAGGCTGGCTGGATTCCCATCCTACTTTCTCCTTCCTCTTCTAGTTCCTGGCCATTTTCTATCCAGGATGTGGTACAACCTCTTACCCTGCAAGTTCAGAGACCCCTGGTCTCTGTGGTGAGTGTGTGTTGAACAGGGAATCTCTGGGGCTTGGAGGGGAACATTCCCATTCCAGGCCCTGGCTCAGGCCTCACTTCATGCCCTCCCCTCAGACGGTGTCAGATGCCTCCTGGGTCTCAGAACTGCTGTGGTCACTTTTCGTCCCTTTCACGGTGTATCAAGTAAGGTATTAACTGCCCTCATATTTTGATCACTGGGGAGAGGCTCATCTCAAGGTCAAGGAAGTAGTGGCCTCTGCCCTGTCCATTTGTAGATCTTTTAATATCAAGGTTCTACCACAAAGGCAACAAAAAGTATATACTATTTTCCCACCCTCACCATGCAAAGAGGTACCAAAGTGGGGAGCAGTGACAACCTTTACCCTGGGTGCCCACAACATAGCCCTGGATTGTTTTTTGCAGGTGGCTTCGTCCTGTTCATCGCCAACTAGGGGAAGAGAATGAGGAGTTTGCACTCCGTGTACAACAGGTGGTTGGATATACAGGCAGGGTGGAGATGTGGTCCCTGCTTAGGAGAAGGGGGAGGAAAGCTTGAGATCTTGACACTTCCAGTTTTCCAATTCTCCCTAGCTGGTGGCCAAGGAATTGGGCCAGACAGGGACACGGCTCACTCCAGCAGACAAAGCAGAGCACATGAAGCGACAAAGACACCCCAGATTGCGCCCCCAGTCAGGTATGTGGTCTCTATACATACACCTTTTGGGGTTTTTTTTGTTGTTTTTTTTCCCCAGCCTACTGTGATTCCTCCCCTATTCCTGTGCTAGTTAGCCTCTCCTTCTCTGAGTTCTCTACTTAACAAAATTTCTTTTCTTTTTTTTCTTTTTCCACAGCCCAGTCTTCTTTCCCTCCCTCCCCTGGTCCTTCTCCTGATATGCAGCTGGCAACTCTGGCTCAGAGAGTCAAAGAAGTTTTGCCCCATGTGCCATTGGGTGTCATCCAGAGAGACCTGGGTATGGGAAAGGGTGGCTCTACACAGGGAGATGGGCACAGGGAGGAAAAGTGGGTTGTGAAGGAAGAAAGTGAACAGGGAGTAGACTCCCTTCTCTTTTCCCCCCAGCCAAGACTGGCTGTGTAGACTTGACTATCACTAATCTGCTTGAGGGAGCCGTAGCTTTCATGCCTGAAGACATCACCCAGGGAACTCAGTCCCTACCCACAGCCTCTGCCTCCAAGGTGAGATATAGAAAATGGTCAGGTCCAAGACTTGGGGTGAGGTGGGGGCAGGCTACCTACTCCCTTATCCCTGATTTTTCATTTTTGATCCTGAGACCCTAGCATAGTGCCTCTCTTGCAAAGTAGGCATTCGATGCATGTTTAATCATGATGACTCCGCAAGCCCTCTGACATTGTGATCACCTCAGTTCCCCAGCTCTGGCCTGGTGACCCCTCAGCCAACAGTCCTAACATTTGCCAAGTCTTCCTGGGCCCGGCAGGAGAGCCTGCAGGAGCGAAAGCAAGCACTATATGAATATGCAAGAAGGTGAGGGGGTTAGAGGACAATGAATAGGATGGGGAAAATTGGAGAATGAAGTTATGGAGCAACTATGGCAAAACCTGAATAATGTCTTTCCCTATGCCCCACAGGAGATTCACAGAGAGACAAGCCCAGGAGGCTGACTGAACTCAAAGGAACAGGATGGCACCCAGAGCCGCAGGACGGAGACTGGGGGCAGCCCTCACCCAACTCACAACAGGCTGGATGAGTTGGTGGGTTGTAAAAAGGGAAGGATGAGGCTCCCCCAATATCACATTAAATTCATGGTTTTCATTCAAGGTGTCTGTTGTCTCTCTGGGTCTCAAAAGCCCTGTGAGTGGGTTCCTTATTCCTTGGCTGGGAAGGATGGGGGTGAGAGTCTCCTTGTACATTTAAGGGGGGTAGTCAGACTACAACTGTCTAAAATCACCTCCTCATGCCAAGGGATGAGTGATAAATTAAGGAAGCGTAACTGAACTGAAGACCCAGCGTGGGCGTTCAGCCCAGGTTTTGGAAGAAGCTGCTGCAAAACTACAAATCCCAGCATGCCTTTTACAAGCACAGTACGCATCATCTATAGAGTTCACACATGCTCAGTGTGGTGGTAGCCTGTTTTCCATAGGTTCCTGACTAAGTTAATTAGGGTGGAGCAAATAGCCCCACCCAAAAACAGGTTTCAGGATATGAAGTTTGAGCCAAGCCTTGGGGTAGAGCTGGAATTCACCTTTGTACTTAACACAGTCAGGGTTTGTGGTGACTAGCTACGAGGGTCTGGAGCGGGCTGCTGTCCTGACGTATTCTAGAGCTGCAACCAGGTTTGAATCAAGGATCTCTGTGACTCTGCTGTTCCTTTCCCTGCCCCCTATATTCTTTATCCTTTTTCCTCCAGTACCTTCCCATAGGTTACTAGGTCTCACATAATTTCTACTGCCCCTGAGGACCCCTGCCTAAGTAACATGATTTCTACTACCTGCTGACAGGGTAATAGCATCAGGTAGATTTCTACTACCTGACTACAGGGACTGTCTACTAACTCTCAATAGCCCCTTATCAAAATGCCTAGCACTGTTTCCTGGCAGGAAACACTGGGACGGTTGGGCCCCAGAGCATGATCACCTGAAGGTAGAAGTTAAGGATCAGGGCTGAGGTGGGATATCAGTCACCAAATATGACCTTACTGGCTGCCCTGACTTCTGCAGGTCCTGCCAGAGAGCCACCATGGCCTCTCAGCCTCTGAGGCTGGCAGAAGAATATGGCCCAAGTCCTAGGGAGTCTGAACTGGCTGTGAACCCCTTTGATGGGCTTCCCTTCTCCTCCCGCTACTATGAGCTGCTGGAACAGCGCCAAGCCTTGCCCATCTGGGCTGCTCGCTTTACCTTCTTGGAGCAGTTGGAGAGTAACCCCACTGGAGTGGTGCTGGTATCTGGGGAGCCTGGTTCTGGCAAGAGCACCCAGGTGTGGCTGGGTTGTGGGGGTGGGCAGATTCTGGGAGTGGACAAAGGGAGGAGCTAGCTAGGGAGTTGGCCTTTCCCTGGGCAAGGGAGGACTGGGCTGTGTGGGGTCATGGGAAAGGTGAGGAAAGAGAGATGGGATGGGTTAGGCTGGCTCAGGAGGCTGGTAAAAGACCAGGAGACTCCCCAAATAAGGAAAAATTAAAGTGGCCATAGTTCCCTGAGCACTTCGGACTGAAATCCTACTTATTCCTCACTGGTTGTCCTCTACCTCTATCCCAGATTCCTCAGTGGTGTGCAGAGTTTGCGCTGGCCAGAGGGTTCCAGAAAGGACAGGTTACGGTCACGCAGCCCTACCCTCTTGCAGCCCGGAGCCTGGCTCTGCGGGTTGCTGATGAGATGGACCTGACCTTGGGTCATGAGGTTGGATACAGCATCCCCCAGGAGGACTGCACAGGGCCCAACACCCTGCTCAGGTGGGGCCCGCTGCAGGCCTTACCCCAATCTAATTCCCACACTCAGCAGAAACAAGCCCATTCCTCTGACATCTCACCATACCCTCCCTCAGCCCCACTCACTCTATTTACTTTATTTTATTTATTTATTTTGGAGACAGGGTGTCACTCTGTCACCCAGGCTGGAGTGCAATGATGCAGTCACAACTCACTGCAGCCTCAACCTCCTAGGCTCAAGTGATCCTCCCACCTCAGCCTCCCAAGTAACTGAGATTACAGGCATGCATCTCCATGGCTGGCTAATTTTTATATTTTTGCCATGTTGCCCAGGCTGGTCTCAAACTCCTGGGCTTAAGTGATCTGCCCACCTCAGTCTCCCAAAGTGCAAGGACTACAGGCATGAGCCACCACGCCTGGCCCCAACTCATGCAATTGTATTTGGTGCAATGGCTAAATTAAGCCCTTGAATCCCAGCCAGGGACCTCAGACATTCAGCCACACCCTCATCAGAAAACTGTCACTTCCCAGCTGGAGTATACCTTGTGAACGAAGTGTTCTCAGTGGGGTTGTGAGGTCACAGATATAGGTCCACAGGCTCAGGAAATCACAGTGTCTTTTTCTGACCTTCACTATCAAAATCTACGTCCCTTGGGGAGAAGTTTCCCTGAGCTTGTGGAGCTGGTCACTGTCCACACTGATTCCCTTGCTCACTACCAATGCCAACAGGTTCTGCTGGGACAGGCTACTTCTGCAGGAGGTGGCCTCGACCCGGGGCACTGGAGCCTGGGGCGTGCTAGTACTAGACGAGGCTCAGGAGCGGTCAGTGGCATCGGATTCACTCCAGGGGCTACTGCAAGATGCCAGGCTGGAAAGCCTCCCAGGGGACCTCAGAGTGGTTGTGGTTACTGACCCAGGCCTTGAACCTAAGCTCCGAGACTTCTGGGGCAATCCTCCTGTTGTGCATATACGCAGAGAGCCTGGCAAGAGACCTTCCACCATCTACCAGGACACCATCCCCTCTGACCGGGTGGAAGCTGCCTGCCAAGCAGTGCTTGAATTGTGTCAGAAGGAGGCTCCAGGAGACGTGCTAGTGTACCTACCCAGTGAGGAGGTAAAAATTTTTTAAAAGCCTGCAAAAGGAGGTACTTATCATCTTCCAGGGGAATGGGAATAGGAGCAATGCCTGTGAGGAATAGTAGAGTTGCAATATTTACACTCTGCTGGGGTCCCAGGGAAAAACTTGAGGATTTCCAGGTAAAGAGGTCTACCACTCACTTTTTTTATTCCCTTTAATGCAGAGATTTGTGATTCAGTGAACCCCCAAAATTATAAAATCTTCAACTTTATGAGTATTTGCATTTTCTCAGAGTGAAGGGCCATCACTTTCAAAAGTTTTTTCAAAGGAATCTGTGACACCAAAAAGGTGAGAACTACCCTAATGCCCCACCCTTCTCCTCAGGAAATTTCCCTGTGCTGTGAATCCTTGTCCAGGAAGGTAGAGTCCCTGCCTCTCCAAGGGCTTCCACCACGAGTACTGCCCCTTCACCCAGACTGTGGACAAGCCGTTCAGGCTGTGTATGAGGACACAGATGCCCGAAAAGTCGTGGTCACTCACTGGCTGGCTGACTTCTCCTTCTCCCTCCCTTCCATCCGACATGTCATCGACTCAGGACTGGAGCTCCGAAGTGTGAGTGGGAGAGAGATGGCGGTGGGGTAGTAAAGACAGAAATGGCCCACTCTGATCTGTCTTGGCCTTGGTTGGGGGATGGGCAACAGGTTTACAACCCTAGGATCCGAGCAGAATTCCAAGTGTTGAGGCCAATCAGCAAGTGTCAGGCAGAGGCAAGACAACTGCGGGCAAGAGGGTTCCCACCAGGTAAGAGCCTTTGCCCTCACTGAAATAAAAAGCCAAGAGTCACCAACATGCAAGCCCTGAGAAATCTACAGTGGTCTTCTTTCCCAGGTCTTTTTCCCCTCAGGATCCTGCCTCTGCCTGTATCCTAAGTCCTTCTTAGAACTAGAAGCTCCTCCATTGCCCCAACCCAGGGTGTGTGAGGAGAATCTGAGCTCCCTGGTGTTACTACTAAAAAGGAGACAGATTGCAGAGCCTGGGGAGTGTCACTTCCTGGACCAGCCTGGTGAGTACCTCTCCTGCCCAAGCACTGCCATCTGACCATCCAGTTCTGAAACTTCACATCTTATAAGCCCCTTTTTCTCACCAGCTCCAGAAGCACTGATGCAGGCCCTGGAAGATTTAGACTATCTGGCAGCCCTGGATGATGATGGGGACCTGTCAGATCTGGGTGTCATCCTATCAGAGTTCCCTCTGGCCCCTGAGCTGGCCAAAGCCCTGTTGGCCTCATGCGAGTTTGACTGTGTGGACGAGATGCTCACCCTGGCTGCCATGCTCACAGGTATAAAATTGCTGCTTTAAATCCATAGCTCTTGCAGCCACTTCAGCCCTTCCTCTTGGGTTTTGGTGCTCCTGAGCCTAGCCCTTTTTTCTCCGCTCCCAATGCCACCCCTCACAATGCCTAAAGAACCAGGCTTAGTCGCCTGTCTCCCTCTTGTCTCTTAGCCTTTTTTCTCTACTGGTTCTTGCCCCTGGTATGCTTAAATCTCTCCTAATCTGTTAGTGCTAGAACTCACACACCCCTCTTCCTCAACCCTATCCTCCCCTTCAGCTATATAGCATGATTTCTATCCTGTTCTAACTGGTGTATTGCTCACGCACTGCACTCCAGCCATGCCAGTGAAACAGCTTTCAACTCACTGTGACCTCCCAGATGCCTAATCCAGTGGACACTTTTGAGCCCTTATCCATGACCTTCTTTTGACACTCGAGATTGCTGACCACTCCACCTTGAAACGGCCTCCTCCCTAGGCCTCTGTAAGGCTGCTCCTCATGGTTTTATTCCTACCTCTCTAGCCATCCCTAGTCTTTTCCTTGGGCTCTTTGTCCTCTGCTTATCCACTATAAATTGGTCCTCAGAGTTCTATTCTTGCCTCTTTTGTTTTCTATTCCCCGAACCCTTTGAGCAAGTTTATCCACACCCATGGTTTGAAGTGCTACCTTTAGCCTTAAAATTTCCAAACCTGGCCGGGCGCGGTGGCTCAAGCCTGTAATCCCAGCACTTTGGGAGGCCGAGGCGGGTGGATCACGAGGTCAAGAGATCGAGACCATCCTGGTCAACATGGTGAAACCCCGTCT